GCAGGTTCTTCTCTGCTCTTTCCCCACTTGTTAATCTAACCTTGGTCATGTGGTAGCTGTTGTAAAACATGCGGAATTGTGTTGTTAAGATGTTCTGAGAGATTACACCAGTTCCTTGTCACAAAGCCTTTTGTTTATTTGTGAAATGTTTTATTGAGACTGTACCGGTTGAGGCCACTTGCTCGTGATTTTTACATGGCAGATGTTGGATTATTATTGCATATGGCTCTGCTGAGAACAAAAACATAATAATTAGCAGGTTTAAGAGATCACATTATGACAATATAAATTGCATATTATTAGTCAGTATTATTTTCCCTCTCTTCAGAATGAGTTCCAGTGATTCTTAAAGCTCCTTGCTCCTTTTCTGTATCAATGAAAGCAGATCCTCCTTCCTTTTAACCCTGCCTCTGATCCTATTAAAGCTGGATCCTTATCACCTTTATCAGTGTTGGAACGGATGGGAGCTTAACTGCCTTTGTGCACATTGGCAAAAGCTGGCTGGACTAATGTTTCATTATTCCACACTCAAGGTTACAACCTTGAGAGGAAACAAAAGGGAATGGCTTGAAAATTGATTAGCGAATGAAATCATCAGATGTTATCCTCAATGTCTTAATCATGGATGTCACACCCTAGGGACACTGAGCTGCACACCAATGACACTAAACACCGAAGTGTAACCCACGGCACCAGCATAACCTCTGATCACAGGTCTGGTAACAGAACTCAACCTTTGTGTGGCCCAACAGTGCCATCTAGGAGGTTGAAAGTAGGAGTAGGTTTATGGAACTGCAGAGTTGATGTTACTGTTTAAGGGTCTGCACAAACAAACCTTATCTGAAACACACATGAACGTGGCAGGGGCCGTGCTGACAGGCACGTTTCACCAGACCATATTTACATAACAGGAAGAGAACAGGAAGTACAACCTGGAGGTACACCGCAAAATCCTGGCCATGACGCCAGGAAACTCTCCTATTGTTATTGCATTCTCTCACACCAGAGGTCTTCTAGACTGGCAGCCCTCTAGCACAGTACGACCCCATGAAGTAAAAGGGAACTCAGGCCATAATGCAGTACATTCATTATATACAGTACTGTGCAAATGTTTAGGCAGCTGTTAAGTAAAGTAAGAATGCTTTCAAAAATAGACATGTTAAATTATGTTTATCAATTAAAAAATACAACGTACAACGATTGAACAAAAGAAAAAAATCTAAATCTAATCAATATTTGGTGTGACCACCCTTTGCCTTCATAACAACATCAATTATTCTAGGTACACATGCACGAATTCAGAGATTTTGTAGGCATATCGTCGGGTGTATGATTAAACAATTATACAGGTGCTGTGGATCACTAAGTCAATACAGTCATTAACTGAAACAGAAACAGCTGTGTAGGAGGGATACAACTGGGTGAGGAACAGCCAAACTCAGCTAATAAGGTGAGGTTGCTGAAGACAGTTTACTGTCAAATGTCAAACATCATGGCAAGACTGAGCACAGCAACAAGGCACAAGGTAGTTATACTGCATCAGCAATGTCTCTCCCAGGCAGACATTTCAAGGCAGACAGAGGTCTCCAGATGTGCTGTCCGAGCTCTTTTGAATAAGTACAAAGAAATGGGCAACGTTGAGGACCGTAGATGCAGTAGTCACCCAAAGAAACTGTGGCAGATCAAAGACTCATCATGTTTGACTTCCTTTCTCAATTTGAAGATGTCCAGCAGTGTCATCATCTCAGAAAACAGTGGGACCCTGGTACACTCATCTACTGTCTGGACAAGTCTGATCTGACGTGGCCTTCAAGAAAGACGCGTGGCCAAAAAGCCAGACCTCCGACATGAAAACAAGGCCACGCGACTCAGCTAGGCATAGAAACACAGAAACTGGGGGGCAGAAAAATGGCAGCTGGTGCTCTGTACTCCTTCAAAATTTGAATATCTGGTTGTTGCAGAAGGCAGTTTTTTCGCCCAATCACTGGAGAGTGGTACAAGAATGAATGTCTGCAGGCAACACACAGTGAAGCATAGTGGAGGTTGCTTGCAAGTTTGAATTTCTGCAAACGGAGTTTAGGGATTTGGTCAGAATTAATGGCCTTCTCAATGTTGAGAAGTACAGGCAGATACTCGATAGTGCAACACCATCAGGGAGGCATCTGATTGGCCCCAAATTTATTCTGCAGCAGGACAATGACCCCAATCATAGAGTGCAGGTCATATCTTCATACTAAGGAGTCCTGGAAGTGATGGTATGGCCCCCACAGAGCCCTGATCTCAAACCCACAGATTCTGTCTGGGATTAGATGAGAGAGAAACAACAGAGGCTGCCTAAATCCACAGAAGAACTGTGGGGAGATCCTTCAAAAACAATGTGCAAGTATACCTGATGAATTGGTGCTGTTTTGAAGGTAAAGGGTGGTCACACCAAATATTGATTCGATTTTAGATTTTTCTGTTCACTCACTATGCGTTATATATGCATTCTGGTGATTTCTTTCTGCACCAATTTATGGTGGAAATATCTGTCTTTATGTAAAGGGAAACACAAAATTCAGGTGGCATGTGACAATTCAAAATCTAAAACTATAATACAATATATTGTGTTAAGGCTCTCAGGCATTATTCTGTATTCCTTTCAGTAATGTTTTCTCCTGTAGATCAACTTTTCTCATGCAATATCATCCCTGTTGAGTCGGCACACATGCATGATTTAGTCTTCGCTCCTCTTTTGACTCTTTTGTTTGGGGAAGTAACCTCTTTAAATGTGCATGTGGCACTTTTTCACCTCAATGATAAATGAATTAATTTTAATTCAGTAATTAACTCCTGGACTGGCTCCTGTGTTTCAGCAGGTTATCTACTCCTGTTTCCTGTTACTTTCTGCACATTCTGAATGTATCCCACATTTCTGTGTTCTCTGACATGTCAAGAAAATATTAAAAGACTAATGTCATAATTTAATCAGAATTCATTAAAAAATTTTAAGTCTACCTGTCCTCTACTCTGATGTGCATTACGCTTTTGCTCCACTGGTAATAATCCCTTCGGACCGTCTGACAAGGAGGTGGAAAACAAAAGTAACTGAAAATACTCATGATCAGGCAGAAATCTCGCTGCAAATCCACACACATGTTTACTTCAGCACCTTCGATAAACTCCTTGATACTATGAAGGTATTCGCACCAGCTGGGCAGAGTTGCTCTGTGAGTCGACCTTATTGCTTACACATTTGTTTTTCACTGCGTGAGAAAATTGATGTATGGCATGAGAGCATGTGAAAAATGTAATTGCATGAGTCTGATGTCGTGGCATGTGAACTTGTCACTGTGATATACAAACAGTAGTGTACTGTAGGCCTATGTGGAGGAACCTAGCACAGAATTCTGGACCCTGTACATGGAGATTCTCTATGATTAGAAAAAAAACCTTTAATTTCATTGTACAAAAATATAAAAAAACGAAATTAGGAGTGCTGCTCCTTATCAGTGCAAACAAAAGAAAAACAGTTAAAACATACACAAACAAACAAACAAAGGGCAAGATCCATTGGTATTAATTCTAGTGTCTTTGTGGGCTCTCTTCAGGTGCAGTCAGATGGAAAATTATGTAATGTTTACATTACCTGGAGTTCAGATAAAGACCTGATGTCACAGATTACAGTTAAAAACCAGAGCCACAGACTCATCAGTGACATGTTGTCTTTGTTTTATGTTAATGGACAAATAAAACAGTCACATGATCCACTAAAATATTTCATACAATTGGTATTATAGGTGAGAAACCTTCCTTAGCTGCATAGTTTTTCATCTAACCTGAGGGTGAAGACCTTTTATATTGTAGCTTTGTCATTCTTAGACTCCCTTTTCCTTGAAGGAATCACCATGGAGATGGCCTTGACCCTTGTTAAGCATCTTCCCAGCCAATGTAAGAAATTTCATCCCTGAAAAAGGGTAGTCAGCTGACGCCTAAGCAAAGGTTACTGTGGGTAATTTCCATGGGCTAGGCTTTAGGACGTCCCACACTGAAGAGAGGATGACGCCTACCAAAGAGCAACAATTAAAATAGGAGCTCTCACACTGTTCTACATTAACATGGCATTAACATTGTCATACAAGTACAGATCATGTGAGGAGTTCATTTTTATTGAGTAGGCATAGGCCTACAAAAGATAAAAATCGTTGTTTAACCTTCAATTGACAACATGCTCAGATGTAATTTTTTCTGCCTGTTAAAATTGGACAAAAAACTGTTATATGTTTCAGATTTGCAGAAACAATAAAAAAAAACAACTATTAAAATATACATTGATAATGTAAAGTAATTAGCACTTGCAGTACAAAGTAGAAAAGAGTGTAAACATATAGAGTGCAATATACAATATCAATAAGTTGCAAATCCAAAATGTACACAATGCCAAAAAATATTGATACTAAAATATTCATTTCAGCAATTTTTATTTCCTATATAGTCTATAAGTGACGGCAGTAAACTGGTGAGAATTAACGAATCTGTTCATTTATTTGTTTATTTACTTAACAGTTAAACATATGCTATTGTGTGTATATATACTGCAATCAGCTTTTACAACATTTACCATGCGTAAATCTTTTCATGTAGAATATTAACTCCCTCTAGTTGCTACAAATTCCCCCATCAGAGGCTAAATATAAAGGAGGTCTCCGTTTCCTCAGTGCGTTCTGCAACTCTTAAACTGATGATACACGGAGCAACTTTTAGAGCAATCGTGCAGGGCAACGTTGCCGTCAGTAGTAATGAGTAAAGATTACTACCGTAATCCCTTGACCCCCATCACTCCGCCACCCGCCCCGCGTCGCCACTAGCAAGATTGCTCAAAAAGTTCCCCTGTGTATCATCAGTTTTACAGTTATGAATCGTTGTCATATAGACGATCTTTGTGACGGCGTTGGCCAATGAAACTACTCAGGGGTGTGGATTTCCGGCAGGCTCGTGCGGTCACGGTGCAGAGTGGGCGTTTAACCAGTCTTCATTTTCTGCTCATACATGACTTCACGATCAACGTTTCACAAGTTGAGCAACTTCAAATCGTGAAATTTCCAGTCCCAGTCGGCAGACCAAGATGACGGAAAGCTCCGCGAACAAGCTGCTAAACGGAGACGCCTGTCACCGGACCACAAATGGTAGGAAATCGACTAAAAATGGCTTCGTGAAGAACCATTGCCTGTTTCAACAGCAACAGAAGTATCGTCGTCCCAGGGGGAAGGTAAGGCCCAGCCGTCAACTGCTCGATGGGGGGGGGGGGGGGGCTATAAACAAACAATGGTGTGTTCGGTATTAGTGTAACGTTAGTAGAATACTTTCAATTAAGAAAATCATGTTAACGTTAGCTCATGTGTTATTCATTTGTTTTTTCCCCGTGTTTAATTGCGGCTATAAATTTTAGTTTGGTGTAACGTTATGTTTTATTTGCAGGGGCACGTGAGATGAACTGCCTTCATTAATGTAACATTATAACGTTAGCTAAGTGGTTTGATTTATATAGTTTATATAACGGCCTCAGCCTTCCGTTATTTGCTAGCGTAGCCGTTGGTCCCAATCCAATGCGACATATTTCAAGCTAACGTTAGCTGCTGCCAACTGCTACCCGGAATTAAATTGTGATACTTAATTTCCCAGTCACGTGGCTTTAGAAATACTCAATATTATGAACATTGTGTTTTTTAAAACACAAGTTTAGCTTGTAGCCAGTAGTATGAGCTTTAAAGGCGACACTTATTTTTGCGTTTTAGAACTTCTTGATAATGGTGCATGCCACCTGATCATGGAGGATTGTAGTGGTGACTTTTTTTTTTTTTGCAACCTTACACCCCGGTGTGTGTGTATGTGTGTGTTGACCGGTCTCTGTTTACACAGAGTCTATTATGAAGAAGACCAAGACCCTGTAGTGTTATAACTAGAGAACTGTGTCTGTCTCCTGGGGGAGGAGGACAGGCCTGCTCCTTCCCATGACACTTTAGCAGGAGAGGAATGTCTCCAGGCTATGAAGGGTGTGGTCCTTCCTAGGTTGGAACCAAAGCACAGAAAACACCCAGACTGTGTGTAATGTTAGTGGTGATGGTGGGGTACACACGTGTCATTGTTTTTTTTTCTTCTTCAGATGTTTAGATTCAACAAAAAAGAGAAGTTTTGCCACAGTTTTCAACATACTGTGTATTTACACAATTAAGACCAGATTCTATGGCTGCCATGCCAGTTATATTCTTAAGCATATAATATCTCCATCCTGCCAGAAGTTCTTATTTAGTGATGTTAAACAGTTTGATTGGCCTATCCCTAATGACACTATGAACCGTATTTACCAATACATAAAGGTTAGTCATACTCAGGGTTGGTATCAACATGGAAAGTTGCGTCATGTCACCCTATTGTCATATGAGCTCTGCAGGTTCTTGATAAGGTAAGTGAAAGTGAGGTAGATGCACATAGACCTATGAAAATGTGATCTCACTAACATTTTTCAGCAGGGATGGTAGTGTTGATAGTAGCTCCCTCATGAATTGACGAGGCAATTAGCAGGAAGAGGACTCGCTCACTTATTTACTCTAACGTGAAACGTACACCACTTGCAAGCTTTTCTTATTGTGTGTACAGTGTAATGCGATCATCATCTCTTGAGCTGCAGAGCAAGCGTGTGAAAGAACAGATTTCTACAGTGTGTTGGCTGGATGCTCCTCCTGGGACAGTTGCTGTGCTGTCCAGCTCTAAACAAACAGCACAGCAGGTCTACCTCTTCTCAGTCACTGTTTGTCTACAGGTATAAATGACTAAGCAAATATGATGTCAGTCAAACTGTATTTAGCTGCTGTGGTTGGCATCAGTATGCAACAGTCTCTTTGAGCGGTGTACTTGGATGTGAAAATGTTTATGTGCTCACTGTTAGAGACACAAACCATGGCTTCTGGTCTACTGGCCTTTTCAGTGTTTGTTTGTTTGTTTTAGCTTTAGATAGAGACCTGTTTGACTGGTTTATATATACACATACATAAACACACAATGCATTACTCTCCTGTTCCCTAGCTCAGAGGTATTTCTTGGAGAAGCATGACTGGTCACATGAGGTGTGGTTGCTAAGCTGCCAGCCAGAGCCTATAATGACTGGCCGCCTTCATTTGTTTTATGTTGGTTTTTGTAGACCGCCAGTTCACCTTGAAATAATGCTAGTTTTTGTGGCGCTCCTCCAATGTGTAACCACATTTAATATGGTCCCATAATCCAAGATCAATATTGCTATTCATAAAACTCAATGAATGAGAACCCTGGATTGATGGCCATTTTACCGCTCACTGGTCCACGGGGGCCTGTGCATGATTAGGGCTCCATGAATTAATGTGTTTGTTGTAGCTTTTATTAGGTTTCGAACTCTCTTTCCACAAATAACACAATTTTAAATGAACCCTGCTGTCCTCTAGTGTTTGCTCAGATCATTTTGGATTGGTCTAGTCTACTTTCTGTCACAATTTATTGGGCTTCCAAGTGTGGCAGACTTAATGAGTAAACAGCATAGATAAACATTACCTTTTTTCAAAAGGAGAAACCACCAGCTTTTTTCAAGAAAGTGGTACAATTTATTACTCCTAAATGTATCTGTGCCTTGGGTTTAGATGTGTTTGGGGAAGAATGGTCTTTAGTTTTACTCTGACAAAATGCGCAAAAATGTAATTTGTAATTTCAGTTGTAACTTGTAGACACATTCGTTTACTTTATTGTCCCCCAGAACCAAAATGTCACACACAACTCCAGCCTGTACAAGAAGCCCTTTTTGGAATCGTTTGAGGAGACTCCTCTACTGGTGGCCGTGCTCACCTACATGGGCTACGGCATCCTCACCATCTTTGGCTACCTCCGAGACTTCCTTCGCAACTGGAACATCGAGAACTGCCACGTGGCTCAGGAGCGAGAGGAGCAGAAGGTAGTTTTTACATTAAACTCTTTGAGTGCAGGCTGATATTTTTATTTTTTTTTAAATCAAAAACTAATTGACAGGAAAGTACACGGTGTCACATCAGCCAGACCAATCATTTCAAGACATATAATTAAAAAAAAAAAGTTCAGTTTTGTAAGCAGAGGTTGCAAATTAAAACTATTATTACAGCACTGCATTAAAGGTTTAATATTGAGACTTTTGGATATCTAATCCTTGAAAAGAACTGCTACATTAGCTGTCAAGGTGTTGCAAGTCTTTGACACAGACTCTGTCACACCCATTATTTCCGGTTCAGCAGTAATCATTGACTGTTGCCCTTGTCTGCCACAGAACAGAGATTGCATCTTTTGGAATATAATGAACTGTCAAGACAGGACATTAAAAACATTATCTACACTTTCTGCTTTTCCCTGCAGGATTTTGTCCCCCTCTATCAGGACTTTGAGAACTTTTACACCAGGAACTTGTACATGAGGATTCGAGACAACTGGAACCGACCCATCTGTAGTGTCCCCGGTGCTAAGATGGACCTAGTGGAGAGAGTTTCCCATGACTACAATTGGACCTTTGAGTAAGTTGCTGCATTGTGTTGTGGTTTTGAGAGTTTGCTGTTCTCTGTCTGTTTGTGCTCATCAGGAGTAAGAGTGAATAAGAGTGACGCAAGCCATGAGTCAGATTATTGGTTCAGGTGTTGAGAAGCACTAGTATCTGTCACATGGTACTGAACAGAAACACTATACATGAACACAAGCAGCCCTAAACACAACCTCCTCTTTAAATGACAGAACTAGTATAAAAACAATCTGGTATCAATACAATCGAGACGGCACAAAATTTAAATGAATGGCATATAAGTGATTTACTTTGTCCCATTACCTTCATTTTTTCCCTCTTGAGAATAGGGCTGCAGCTAACGATGATTTTGGTACTCAAAGCTTCTACAGATTATTTCAACGATGCATCGTTTAAGAAGTACTTTTGATTGGCGGCAGCGCCCCTCGGGTAATGTGTAAGTTAACTCATGACTGTGACGTTACAACCCAAACTCACGGCCCAAATAGGTGGAGAACAAATGCACTTGTGTACATTTACAGCAGAGGATTGTAGCTTACTTTTCCTAGCCTTCAACCTAACAATCAATCATGATGTACGTTAAATGCTAAAGTTGCATCATAATCACGTCATGTTCACACAGCGTAAGTGCGAAGGTCATAAATGTCCGTGCGAAACAGTGCGCTTTATACTTATATGGATTAAACGAAGCATCGATGCAAGGAATTTGTGTAGATACTTTTTAGTAATCGATTTAATCGCTGAAACGTTTCACCCTACTTGAGAACTCACTAATCTACAAGAATTGCTTTAGTTCTGTGATATTTTTAAGAAACAAACATACATTAATATACAGAAACCTTTGTATTATTGAGTGTTAACAGGGCCAATGAATTCAGGCTTTTGTGAAACAGTTAATACAAATGAGGAAAGAGCACAAATATTTCTGCAGACAAACTGATGGCAGTGACGGTTGTGTCATGTTTTTGGTATGTACAGTGTAACGTGCAGTATGGCAGCTGAATTCCCTTAGGACAATAAACTATTGTATATTATCACAGTGCATGATAACTAGTGAAGGATAACATTGAGCAAGAAATGTTGCCAGGCAGCCAAGGCAGACAGGCACACATGTTGAAGAGAATTATTTTTATTAACCTGGAGTCAGGGTACCAATTCTGTGTCTGCCTTTCTCTGTTTCTCTCAGGCACACAGGCAAAGTGGTGAAGAACGTCATCAACATGGGCTCATACAACTACCTCGGCTTTGCTGAGAACACGGGGGCTTGTGCCGATGCTGCTATCGAGTCCACACGAAAGTATGGCGTTGGAGTGGGCAGCACTCGCTGTGAGATGGGTAAGGGTCAAATCAAGTTATTTTGAACAAATGATCGGGTTTGAAAAAAAGCTTTCAAGATTCATCATCATCTAAGTGTGCTTTTATTATAAAAATGAAGTAAATTCATGATGAAATGGACTTTATTAAACCTCAGCTGGTACCTTAACAACTGTGCCCTCTTTTGTCAAAGGCCACAGGCTTAAGTGGTTTTGAAGGACTGAAAGATTGAGTATGAAATATAGTCACACACTGTTAAAACTTTTTCTGAAGTGCTTTTTGGTTCAGTGCCTAGTTTGCTAAAGCTTCCTTTTAAACTTGCATTTGCATTTCCTTTCTTCTTAAAACATTTGCAAAGCCGATTTAAAAAAATAAATAAAAAATAAAATAAAATTTAAATCCAGTATGTTTTACATCCATGTTTACTAGCTTGCACTCTTATTCCCTACTTTTGCTGGCACATTATCCACTGTTGATCAGTGGATTACTGTGACACCACTGGTGGGACTGTACATCGCATGCATCTGTGCTTGTGTGTCCTCATGCATAAGATAAACAAAACAGGGACACACTCCTAGGAAAAATAGCTCCATAGCACTATTAGAAGTAAAAAAAACATGGCAGGAAACCTTCAAGGGAAGTGGACTGACCTCACTGTTTGTCAAACAGGCATAAGAAATCAAATGTGACTTGAACACTTATCCCATAAGACAGCTCTGGAAGTTGTAGTTAAACTGAGATTATGTTGTTTCCAGGGAACCTAGACATCCATGAGGAGCTGGAGCAGTTGGTTGCCAGGTTCCTGGGTGTTGAGTCATCTATGGCTTTTGGCATGGGCTTCGCAACCAACTCCATGAACATTCCTGCTCTCACTGGGAAGGTGTGGAATTTCATTCACTTCCTTTGTTTGTTTTTGTTCTTTATTTTTATTCTTTTGTTCTCCCTAGAATGTCCTACTCCTCTTGATTTTTATTTTATTTTATGATTTTCTGTGTTTGTAGTTGCATTGACCCCTGTACCCATGCTGTATTGTATAGGGGTTGACCAATAATTGGCCTGGCCATTTATCGTGGTCGCTGTTTAGCATTATTCCAATAATCTGCATAGGTCATTTAAAAAGAGATAGCCGATATAATCCATTAATTAAAAAATGCGCTCCTTTGGCTCTGAAACAGCCAAACCAGAACTACTAGTAAAAGGCTGATACTGTATCAGTACCACAAGCAGGAACGTGTACAGAGCGATATTTTAATCTGCTCTGTCTCATCCACCGCAGCTGTATTTTGGTTTTACAGTCACATGTGCTAGCTCAGCTAATAGCTAGTTTGTTTATAAATAAGCTAAAACGAAGTCTCTCTCTCTGTCTGTAGCCTGTTTAGCTGAGATGCTACGTACCTTAAAATTTAGCAAATCCTTGCAAACTCGGCTGGTTGTTTAGGCAAACCAGCTTCTCTCTACCAGGAGCAGCAGGTATATAGTTTATTTTACATGTTCCATTAGTTTGCAGTGGGATATTGATTTTAAGTGACTTTGCTGCTGTAAACTTTACTTTTGTTGCTGCTCTAAAACAGTTGATTATAATAAAATATTAAATTTGATTACATTTCAGAATTTATTCTTTTTCACATCATTGAAATTTTAAAAGCAATTATTTAGTAATGAAAAGCCAATAAGAGTATAGATTAAGAACAGAACCGATAAATAGTATCAATAAATGTATCAATAAAATCCTGACAATATCAAATAAATACAATATAAATGGCAGCAGGTAAAGACAAAGTTTATGATAAGTGCATCTCTGTGATGGATCTCTAATTCATTTAATTGAAAGATTAAACATGACAATTAACTTTAATCTTGTTGTTTTTAACAAAGTTTTGTGTTGGAGTTTGTTATTCTAAATTTTGACACCAAAATTTTACATGAAATGTATATCAGTTCCCCATATCGGTCATCGGTCTAATTGCTTACAAATAATCGGGATCGGCTCGGAAAAAAACATATATGTCGAACCCTAGTATTGTGTGAGTATGTGAGTAGCGTGCCATTAACAGTTTCCCGTTTGAAGCGAAAACAAGCTACATTTGCCGGCCAAGCTTGAAAAGTTCAGACTGTTCTTCAACACACTAGTTTCCGGCCAAAGCTTTCAAAACATTCTGAGTCCCTGCCACTGTTGTTGTAACCCCAACATATCACACGTACCAGCCCTTACTTTCCCTTTTCTTCCCTAGCCAATGTTGCTTGAACAGGAAGTAAAAATCTGAGCTGTCGGGCACATGAACCTTGTGACATTTCCTGATAAGTGTGAAGAGTGAGAACTGAAATGCAGATGGACAGAGAGGACGAGAGAAACTTACAGTAAAGATTTGAGTCACTGCCCTTATCATGGCTTCATAAATACATAGCTGTGTCTGTCTATTTTCTGCTAGTTCACATTAAGTCATGGTATAATTGTGTGTTGTTTCAAGCATATTTGTCCATTGGCCAGAGGGTGTGTTGACTTTTTGGTGTGGATGAGGCGTCCAAAATTTTTATGATATGATGAACAAATTTTCCCATCGTGGAAATATATTTGCCTGGTCATGGTCAGTGCATGTAGGAGCTTACACTCGGATTATTAAATTATTATTAGATCTTCTTTGCTAATCAACAGGCTATTTTATTTAGGTTTAGTTTGGCTTTTAATACCATAAGTCTTCATTTATTGTTTTCACCACATGTACTAACTTCACATGGGGTTAAGGGTCCATTTTAGCATTAATAGAATTAAATAATAATTAAGTATTATTTGCCAAACAAAAAAGAAAACTGCACTTGATTGACCTTTTCATACTTGTCTGAGGGCAGAAACCATATATAGACATTAATTCATGGCAACAGGTATACTTAGTCACGGAGTATTAAAAGTTCATGTGAACAGCTTAACCTGAAGAAGCCTGCATCATTAGTCACACCGCGTGTATCCAGAGACTTCAGTTCAGTGTTCCTCAAAGAGGAATAATCAAAATCATTGCTCAACACTAAAAAACCTCGGGAGTGTTAAAATTATGCAAGCAAAGATCTGAAGCGGATTGAATATTTCTCCCTGAATAGTGTTTGACTTTTCTGACTAATTTTGGATTGCTGCTCTCCTGATGCACAAGCTAAAACAATCAAATCTCTTACAAAAAATCTTTTTGTCTTCTTGTTTTAGGGTTGTCTTATTCTGAGCGACGAGCTGAATCACGCGTCACTGGTGCTGGGTGCCCGCCTGTCTGGCTCTACAATTCGGGTCTACAAACACAACAGTGGGTGACCTCCAATAATGAGCACCATACCTGAGAAGAGTTAGATAAAATTGTGACTTTGTCTTTCTCTCAATTACTTTATTGAATCACACAGTAGTGGGTGTGGCCACACGGTCACCAGAGATCCTGACTTACAGTTATCCAAGCACACAATCAGCAAACACAAGCCAGGCAGTCTGACTGCTAAGAAAACACCCTCAGTGCTTAAGTGTTGTGATCATAAAATATTGACACTCATTCATTAATTAAAGAAAGCTCTCGTATTACTTTAGGAGAACAAAATCTATCCTGAGACAACGTAGACAACAAGTCTTTTCTCTTTATTGTAGACATGCAAAGCCTGGAGAAGCTGCTGAGAGATGCTATTGTGCACGGACAGCCGAGAACCCACCGACCCTGGAAGAAAATTCTCATTGTGGTGGAGGGCATATACAGGTATACACAATAATCTTTGGCTTTCTCTCACACACGTGCACAGTACACTTATTTTTTTTTTTTTTATATGTACATTTAAGAAAAAGCATGAAAGGAGTTCAAAACAGATGTGTAGTATTTAACCATATACTTCCTTGGCCAAGTGTAGAACTGTTACGTGTGACATTATGGTGTCACAATGCAAATACATTGATTTACCAAGCCTGCCATAGGACCTAAATGGCAGGACGTGAAGGCTCTTTTTATTATGTGGCCCAAGCAGGAACCTTGACGTCTGAAAAGTGAAGCCAATGCAGACGTGCGTTAAAGCAGTATTTCAGCAGATTAGAGTTCAGTGTGGGAACATTTCGCTACACGGATTCACTAGATGTCACAGTCATGTCCTGACTTTGTATAAAACAGAATAAACAAAGACATTTTCTGATGGGACAAAGTGTGAATACCAATTTTACAATTTGTCATGCAGACAGTTGATAATGCTAACGCTCCCTTATATCATTTTGTTTAGTAAAATTTGGAAGTGTGCCCACTATCCCATAAGCATAATGCATTCCTTGTTCTTTGAGGTGTACTTACTATAAAAGCAATCAATTCTGTTGATCAATATAGTTCTCAGAGACTCAGACACCCTGACAGACTCGATGCACTTTACTTATGCAATGCTAATGGTGTTTCAGTTCCATTGGGATTTTCTAAGTAGCTCCTAAAATAGATAGTACCTACACAGACATTATCATACACAACTAATGCTGGCTGCACACGTGAGAATAATTGGGCTGATTTTGAATGCGATTCCCCCCCCCTCCCGTCAATCGCAGGGATGTTCCCGATCCAAGGCTGGTAGGTACAGATTATCAGCCAAAAAGATACTGTAGTGTGAGGTGTTTACTGATGTAATCGTAATTGTGGAGCCTTTGATCAGAACCCTGCAACAGCCAGTGAGAGCGAGCTGACCGGGAAGCATCACCAACGTGCTGTGTACTTGCTCGAAAAATGTATAAACCATTCTGATTACGTCTTTTCAGCCACAAGTTCACCCACAATTGTATTCTGTTTTATTTTTTTTATTTTTTTTCCCCCCCCTGCACAACACATAACAGAACTGAAATCGTCTAGTATAAAAGCCGAGTGTGGTCCTGAATCATCTGGTGTGTGCATTTTTTAGGATTAGGTCTGTGATGTACCACGTTTTTAAAATCGATTAAGATTTGAAAATCCTCTTGTGTGCACCAGGCCTAAAAAACGTTTATGCGGCTTTCTGATGTTCGTTTAGATTGAGAGTGTCAGTTAGTCTAACTAAATACTGTATCTTCATAAAAGAGCTTTTGTCAGAATATTATGGAGTGAGAAAGCTTATGAAATTCAAATAAAGAGTTTATTTTTTAGGTCTAAGCATATCATAGCATAAATTGTGGGACTACTCTGAATTAATTGATTTCTGCAACATTTCCTTGTCCTGAAGTATGGAGGGGTCCATTGTGCGTCTGCCAGAGGTCATTGCTCTGAAGAAGCGCTACAAGGCGTATCTGTACCTGGATGAGGCCCACAGTATCGGGGCCCTGGGACCTAATGGTAGAGGAGTGGTGGACTACTTTGACCTGGATCCAAAAGATGTCGACATCATGATGGGAACATTCACCAAAAGCTTTGGTGCTGCCGGAGGATACATTGGAGGCAAAAAGGTTGGTGAACTATAGCACAGGTAAAGCTGAGGTCAGACAATGGAAGACGACGCCTTCTCTGTTGTAAGGGATAATGTAGAATACTGATTACAGTAGCCAGAGAGCTTAGTCACCCTCTTTAGGGACTGTAGCAAGTTCCTTACTGCTGAGATCCAACACATTGTGTGTCATTCAGTTTTGGTATTGGTCAGCACTGTTTACCAGCAATGGGAAATTTAGCTTCAGGTTTTTTGTTTTGTTTTCAGTCAGTGCTGCAGACAAGGCTACTTCAATTTGCGTAGGTTAAGAAATAGAAACAGAAATAACTGGCTGAAACACTCAAGCACACATCTTTTCAATGTGAAATGCCCAGTTGATGGTGCATTAACTGAAATATTGTTTCCTTCAATGAGGAAACTCAGCTTGATCCTTCAATCTGGTTCATTTACAATAATTAAAATGTAAAGCTTCTATGTAACCAATTACATCATCTCCTGCATAAGAAATAATGTGGTAATAGGATTTTTGAAATCGTTCCATCTATTCTCTAATGCAAAATACCCGAATTAAAATATAGTTTTACCCACCATCAGTAATCGGCATCCTTAACACATTTCTCATAACTTGTATGTCATTGTCTATCCATGATGGGACATTTTATTTTTACAGAAACAAAATAAAGATTCTAAAATGTTGTTATTGGAAAATAAAAACAACTTTAATATCATTTCTATGTCAGGAGCTGATCGACTACCTGCGGCGCCACTCCCATAGCGCCCTGTACGCCACCTCCATGTCCCCTCCTGTGGCCCAGCAGATAATCACCTCTATGAAGATCATCATGGGCGAGGACGGGACAACACTGGGTAGGTGCCAGAAAATGACACTTAAAGGTGCATCTATGCATATGTGTTAAAAAGAGAGCTTTAATCACCATCTGGTCTCTTGGCATGGCCTTCCATCAATAACCACAAGGTGGCAGTGTAAGCCTGTGACTCAGACTTCATTAATTCCTGTAAAACCTCGGGTCTGTAGCAGATGACTGGTTGACATTTGGTTTCTTTCTTTCAGCTTTGCCGCCTTTTGTACTTTGACTCCTTCCCACTGAGTGTGCTGATTTACCTTGGCAATGCTTAATTCCCGGCTATTTGATAAAGGCTACTATCTGTGGCCAACTTGCAATGATTAACCAGTAAATAAAGGTGTGTTAGACATTCTTATCTGTTTGTCATTGTCAGATTCTAAGTGCCACATTGGTCCATGCCCTTTATACAGTTACATTGACAACATGCCAATTGCAACTACAAAATTGGATGCAAATTTATGATTTTTAAGTTTTAGAATGTCACATGATATTGTTTTTCAAGTTGGCTGACAGTGGGTGTCCCCTCTAAGTAAAGCTGTATTACTTTATTAAAAATTATGTTTTTTTTCCTAATATATTGAGATGGTTACCTCAGCTTTTGTAAGCAGAAGAGTTTCATGTGATTTTTATTTATTTATTTTATTTTACCGCTACCCTGGTGCGGTAAGTCTGGTGATGGTAAGATAAATCCTGCAGTTTGATTGTGTCTCTTCAGCATGGTTTTTCATATCTCAGGCTCTCTCTGTAGTCCTCTACAGCAGCCTCCTCCTGTCTTTATCTTTCGGGATGTGCATTTTTAAAACTAATGTGTAGACAGTTCCCTTCCTCTGCCCGACGCAGTCCAGGCTGATGGAAGATCTTGGAGAGGTGCTATGCTGACTCTTTTGCCCTCTCCCTTTTATGGCTTTCAGATGTGTTTCTTTGCGTATGCGTGCTTCTTTGCATTCATGCTGGGTACAAAGCAGCATGGTGCGTAGGACCAGAGACCTGTGCAGATCAAACTCTGTTGGACTCATCACCTACACACACAAATAGATCACTGAGCCTTGTTTTTCTTGTAGGGCGGCGCCCCTTTACTGTTTATGGGGCTTAAAATGCTGATATAAGATCAGATTACCTCGCTCCCAAGCCATTCAGTCATTTGGTACAGGAGTAAACACCTGGAGCAAACCGTATAGTATGACTGTTCCACAGCCATTTCTGAGAAGAGAAGGCCAGACTGGCTGACCTTACAACAAATCCCAGTTCTCCTTGTAGAAGACTTAACAGTGACAGTCTGATTGGTTGCAGCCCTTTCACAGTTTGAAATTCAGGCCTTTAAAGATTCAGACACAAGACACAAAGTTGAAGTGACAGTGGAGCTGCCTGCAAACAGTTGTTGTGTTTAAATCACTAAGGATGGCTGCTCATGGTTCCCAGCATAGGCCTGCATCAAAATGGGCGTTTGTTGTTTGAAGCTCACATCAATCAAATGTGTGCATAGGAAATAAGGGCATGAGACGGGCAAAGCTTTCTTAAGGATGAAAACAAAGCCCCTTGAAAAGTGTCTGAATATCATGCTACTGTTTTTTTGCAAACTGAGTGATGAGAAAAGGTTTGGATTCCTTGACGGGGGGGAATGTCTGGATAAATATAATGTCAGACTTGTTGTGTCTCAGGGCACTTTGAAGCAGTGGTGTTTCTGCTGTTTTTCAGCACAGCCAGGCAGATGTTTGTGTTGCTGTTGGCGCTTTGTGCCATATGGTTATTTGTTTGGTTAAGATGCTGTCTCTGGAAGCTCAGGCCGAGGATTCAGCGAGTGAACCCACAGTGTGCATCAGACGTGACACGTGAGGATTGATGCCTGTTTACTTTCAGCCCCTTGACCTCGACTTTAAAGAATCCTGGTTGTCTTCAAAGGCGAGTTGTGTAGTACTATCTCCAAATAAGTGGAGGGCAGGTTGAAAGACTTTGTTTACTCATGGGTTTTACACACATGGTTTTGTTAGTGGAGCAGGACTTAGATCATTAATTGTGACTTCCTACTGCACCGTGTATCAGTTTTATTAGACTACCTTGGGCTCGTGCCATCAGATGATATTAATGTTCTGCAATGTAAAACAGAAGAGTGCAGATATCAGTGATGGATCACTGCAAAAGTACATGCTGTTTCCTCCTCTGAACAACAGCTGATGATACAGTTTTATGAGGCTTACAAGCGTAAATAATAACTAAAAATAGTGTTGTTAGACCTGCACATCCCCACAGTTGTTTTCACTCATGGTGGCTGATTACACCTTGGCACTGGTTGCCTGGAGCTGCGTGAGGTCACTTAACTTCATGTACTAATACAAATAATAAAGGTGTAAGTGGCATCGGCCCGACAGGTGCATCAGGAGAGTGAGTAGAAAAATGCCAATCAAGAACACAGATCTGATGAGAAGAGGTCTAATCAGGCAAATTAAGAGACAACACCTGTGTGGGTGCACCATGGGCAATAAGGGGCTTTAATCAACAAAGCTAAGAGATAAAACTGGTAGATAGTCGTTATCCAAATATTCTAATTGCAATAGAACAACAGTATAATATGGTTTTCCTCATCACTTGGAAATAGTGTTCACTCGTCATTCATGATTAAGGTACAGTTACGGTAAAGTAGGGCAGGCTCACCACCTAAAAACTTAAGTTACCATAGTAATTACCTGTTTACCAATTACCAAATTTCTGCTTTGAGTAACAGAAATAAGCTTAATATCAGTCTTATGCCCGCATTGTGAAATATCCCTCTTTATCTGCCTTTTCCAGGTGCTGAACGCCTGAGACAGCTCTCAAAGAACACCATCTACTTCCGCAGGAAACTCCACGACATGGGCTTCATCATCTATGGCAACGATGACTCGCCCGTAGTACCCATGATGCTCTATATGCCTGCTAAAATTGGGTATGTGATTCTCCACCATTTCAATATTTTGATATATTTTAAATGCTTCTAACATCAAGGATTATTGCGAATGCTGATCGGAACAATCTCCCAAGCGATTTCACATTTGGAAAGCACATAAAGGCTCATGCGCTAATTTCAATTACTTTTCTCACCATCCCTTCTCTAAATAGAGTCTGATGTAGTGTGTGTGGAAAACTGTTTATGATTTCAGTTTCACACATTAAAGAGAACACGACCCAAGATGTGGTGTTGGTGGCGGCGAGGAGGTCAGATCGTCAGTAGGATTTGCAAAGTGTTGCCCTGTGTCTAATATTGCTGTTGCTTTTCAGGGCATTTGGTCGGGAGATGTTGAAGAGAAACATAGGCACAGTGGTCGTCGGATTCCCAGCAACACCCATCATCGAGTCGAGGGCACGTTTCTGCGTTTCGGCTGCCCATACCAGAGAGATGCTTGACACAGTAAGTCATCCGAGTTGTCCAATCACTGTCCAAAATAGAAAAAAGAAAATGTTGCATCTATATTTATTATAAATATTAAAATAGAAGCGTGTAGTTGTTTTAATCAATAATGCAAAAACATGGTTAAAATTGAATTATAAAAATTCAGTTTCCAGCAGAGACCATCCTATAGGTTACACTTTTATTTTAAATCACTACAAATGACTGTGGCTGATGATGGGTGACATCATCAGCAGTGCCTTTACATTTTCTTGCTATTTTTTCCCTTTACTTTCTTATGGCAGAAGCCGTTCTCAGATGTCTTGCCTCTTTACTCTAAAATGGTTTAGGGGGTTTTCACTTGCAATGGGAAGAAAACAACTTTAAAATCAGCATGAAAATCCCTTTTAAAATGGTTATGGTTGCTCTTAAAAATCCGGGTATTTTTGGCAACACAGACAAAACGGCTCTAAGATTATTCACATTTGCTCAACTGTCATCTCTTATATGAATCAGTCAGAGGGTCACCCCTCTCTGTATTGGGCGAGATGAGTAAAACAAGTTTCCTTGGGTGATCTGGGCTCTGTGTTTTTATTGAATGCTGCCGCTTCCAATATACAACTGCCATTTGATCTTTATTCATCATCTAAGATACAAAGAGAAAGACATTGGATCTCTGCTCAGAGTCTGCCTTCTTCACCACTGGATACAGTTCAATGGATGTTGTTGCAGGACAGACTTTTATTGCTGTAGACTTAATTTTAACCTCACCCTGATATAAGCGTTTGTTTGGATTCATGGGCAACTCTGTAAGCATTTCTCAGCCGTTGATGAACCTGCCTCAGTGCTGACTGACAGTTTTGTGTGTGTGTGTGTGTGTGTGTGTCCACATACTCAACGTGCCAGTGTGTCTGTTGCCTAATAAAGGCTCCCAATATGTCCTTTATTATAAAGGAACTTGAAAGACCAAGCTGTCTCCAAGTATTACAGTGTGGCTCAGACAGAGACTTTTATTTGAGCTGCTCTGTCTCTCCAAAGACACTTCATTCATCTTACTGAGGAGCATGTCAACACCGTTTGTAATAATCCATTTAAAGGGCATCAGCCTGCCTTTGTAGAGCACTTCGAGGAGCCGCTTTTTCCGTCTTTGGAAAAGCCAGCTCTTGATATTTCTCAAACCCTTGGAATCAGAAGAAAGGTCAGCAGGAAGGTAAATTGTTTCCAGGTGCCCTGCAGTGTTGCAATGCTGATACAGTCTCTTGTGGAAAGAAGTGGAGGAGTTTATGTTCAGTTGTGGTTCATGCAGGGAGCCTTCTGTCATGTTTAGTGCTTGAAAATCCAAGTGTGATTAAGGCTCGTCACATCACCTACAAAACCAATCCTGTCAAGTTGTGCTATCTGTGCGCAATCTGCTCATCCTGGTTGTTTTAATTTATATTGTCTGGCTCGTTTGTCTGGCTGTCTTTACTTAATGTTGATTGACATAAATAATATGTCGTTAGATTCAGATTAATAGCAGTCTTCCTGTTCTTTTGCCAGGCGTTGGAGGCCATCAGTGAAGTGGGCGACTTGCTGCAGCTGAAGTACTCCAGACGTGAACAGCCTCTACCCTCGCTTGGGTGGGTGGCTGAGGAGAGCCTGCTTCAGGACTGAGCCACATCATCCGCTTTCCTGTCATATCAAGCCTCTGGATGATAATCAATCACTTTCATTCGCTTACTTTTCCTTTTCTTGGCTGATATCCCTTTTTGTTATTTGTTATTTTTTTTGTCGCTCTTCCTCTGAGCCAGTCTCTCCACCCCACTTCGCCATATCTCCTATTACACTCCCTTGGACTCAAACCAAAGTCCACCCTGTTTTGAAACCTGCACACTGGCATTACTCATTAGCCTGGGTGCAGTCAGGACCTGTGCAGCTGGTTTCTCCCATAGTAGGGGAAGACCAAAATTACCCACATTTCTGTATGTGTCCGCTGTAACCAATTGCATTCAGAGCCTTTTTTAGTTTGTCCTAACTTATTGTGAATGCATCGGTCTAACGTCAAGTCTTATTCCTGTGTGCACATTATATGTGTATTTTTTGTTTTGTGCAATAATAACAATGTGGACTTTTTTTGTAATTCAAACAACCTATTGCAAAGTAGACAGATCTTTGTCAAGAGTTCCTACTTGTGTGCTTGAAGAAAAAGAAATCTGATCATAGCCGTTTTGCTATGATGAACACACAAGGAAAAAATTAAATATGTAAATATTATTTATCCCGAAGTTGGTGATTGCCTTAGCATCCCAAACCTCAATAAGAGATACATTACTTCACAGGAGTAACATTAGCATGTTGACTCTATATGTATTTATCTGAAGGCTTGTTTTTCTAATCACTTTTACTTGAATAGAGTATAGAATATTGGGTTCTTTCCCTAACCAAAGGATATACTGTATATGTATAGATATGTTTTCTACCTTTTCTCTTAAAATGTAAAGCAGATGTTCCAAAAGAGTGAAAACAGAGCAGGGAAAGAATCCCAGGGAGCAAGACGAAGGAATATTTTTTACAGCTTATTTTCTAGAAATATATTTCAGCCTTATTTACTGTTTACACCTGCACTCAAAAACTTGAGCACAGTCTCTTTAACATTTCTATAAGCTAATGAGCTACATGTGATTTATTTTTATTTTTCTTCTGCTAAGTCCTTCTCACTCAAGTGCTTTCATGTGAATCAGCGCCGACACAGATCTGTGAGCACGATGACACGCTGTAACTGAGATCTGTATGTATGACGATGATGCTCCAGTGCTTATCTGATATACAGACGGCTTTATTTAAAATGTCTTGGTCACCGCTCAGCTATCTTCTTTTTGTGAAAAAAACTATTATCTGAAAGGCAGCTCCGTGTGTGTGTGTGTGTGTGTGTGTGTTTAACTTACACGTTTTAAATTCAGTGCTAGCACTACTGACAGGCATTGTATATGTACAGATGACGTAGTGAAGAGTTGCAAGATTTGTTTGGGTATGCTTCAGATATCATTCTCATAATTTACGTGGTCATCTTCTGGAATGACATTCCATTTCAACCTGCTTTCAGTGTCAAGTGTTTGTTTTGTTTTACTGTTTTCATCAAGACTTTTGTGTGTGAGGTCACCACAAAAGTGGCATACATGTACGACGTACATACATACCTGTTCGTGTGTGTTTATGTTCCATCACTTAATTGATGTGAATTGGAGGCCGCATCAGTGTACCCAGTTGGAAAGCTGGCCATTGTCTGACAATGTGACCATTCCCATAAATGTTCATCAAAGTGATTCAAGTGTTGAAATGCTTCTGTTGGTGTGTTTGGCATTTTAGTGCAGAATGACAACCTTTGTGGGGTCTCTTAACTGTACATCCATTAGACTTCAATTGCATTGTTCTTTGAATGAGTCATTCCAATATTTGTTGTTTATTTTCTACAGAACATGGATTGAATAACAACTCAGTGATGCTTTTAATAAATATAATATACCAGGTGGAACACACGACTATGATCTGGAATTGCACTCTTCAGCTCTGACATGAAACATTTTCTTCTCGTCAAAGTTTCCTCTCAAGCTGTCTGCAGCACCACGCAGTTTGTTAAGGCTCTACGTTTCTGTCTATGGAGGCAAAAATGTAATTGCAAACAGCAACATTACTTTCTCTCAGCCAGGTTTCCCTCACTGAAACTGAGGAATTAAAGTCAAGAGATTGTTAAAATGTTTGAGTTGCTTGGAAGCCTTTGATGTAATGTGACATTTCCTACCACACATACTATGTGACTGACCTGCAGTGACCATTGCAACTTTCTTAGTAGTTGCTTTCACCCTTGTAATTGTATTTTGGTTGAAGATAAACCACTAAAGAGGAGTTTGTAAAGCCATGATGTTTGTTGACCATGCTGTTAAACAGTGCTGATTAAATGACTTTATTTGTATCAAATTCTGGAAGGGGTTTGTGTTTATTTACAGCAAGCACACAGGGGCTGTAGTCACGTCTTAAACGCTCATGACAAACACAACCTTTTTGACCGATAAGTCACTGACATCCTGCCACTACACAGCATTCCACGTTGGCCAGTCATTCTTAAAATAGTATTTTTGCGAAACGGTATGCCAGTGGAATGAGAAAATGGCTTCTTTCCAGAGTTTAGAAAATGGCTAAACATGCCTAAAAACAAGTGACGTGATTTAAAAAACGTTATTTAAAAAAATTGGAGGAACAAGTAAAATAATTTCAAGTGTGGCATTTGCGAAATTTTGCAAATGCGGTATAAAAGTGTTGTACATGTACAGTTTTTCAGTAAGAGAGTAAATGTCCATTTCACGTCCTGCGTTTAGGCAATTGTATGTAAACTAAATCTTGTAGCCTACCTTATCAAAAACCTCACTGGCCCAGCGCACCCCCCTCCACACAGCTGTGAGCAATAAGCCTCCCACCCCCAACTCCTTTAGCATCAACCTCCTGAATGCGTGCGTAAAAGGCAAGTTTACCGAAACCGGTTGGCTGGGCTGTACACACACAAACACACATCCACTGGAACCGGCGGATGAACTTCAGCTGGATAATGGATTAACGCACCAGACAGATATCAAAAACGCACAGCATACTATGAACTCCAGATGTCAATGTATTGGAAGAAAACACCCACCCACCCACGAAGGAATGACTCACAGTTTAAAGTAGCTGAATAAGCAAGCGCCGGTGCGGACGGGGAGATTCTGCGTGGGGTGTTTGACTTCTTTCGGGTACTTAAAAACTGTGGATTTTATGGGGAAGAGAAGTGTCGAGCTCGACCCGCCAAACGGACTGACAGTTGCTGCGCGAGGCGCTGGTGTCAGATATGGATAGCGCGCGGGACACCTCTGGACGCTGGTGCGCATCTTCATAAAGTGCGACACTTCGAGACTGACGAGGCCTAAAACTTAATTTGTCCTGAGTCAAAGTTGCTAACAAACGAAGGACGAGCAGGACACAGTCGCTTCTTCCCAACCAACAAGCTCATTTAGGGAGAATAGTTTTGAGGGAAAGTACTTTAACAAGTCTTCACAGGAAGAAGTAGGAGAAGATGCGTCAAGAGGTCGCGTGGAGATTTCAGATGCTGCTGGTGATTTGGTCAACACTTCTCGTTAGTTTGGGGACAGGGTTTCCTACCAGACACAAGAATGTTGGCCACAAGGTAAGTGTTCTTCAGATATTGATTGTGTTGCTTTTCTTCTTCTTTTCTTTTCTTTTCTTTTCTTTTTTCTTTAAAGTTTAGCAAGTTATAGCAACCTGTTTCGAAAAAGCTACGAAGTGTTAATAATCACACTTGTCGCTGCAAAATGTGCATTGGTACTGCTCTTGTGGTTCGGTCTTCTTTACTGCTAAATGCAGTACATTCGTTAATTTCGGCTAATAAGTCCCAATTTTATAATATAATTGACTGTATTATACAAACACAAAAGCTAAAACGTGTGGTTTTTTTATAGCAAAATTCCCATATGTTGAATAAGGTCATTAGTAACCCAGTTGTTGTTGTTCTTATTATTATGCCTGTTCAGTAAAATTTGAATGTCACAGAAAGTCACTGCTCGTTTTCAACCATAACTCTCAGTCAGTTCCCATCAAATGAATCAGTCAATTAAATTATCTGAAAAGACAGAATTTCCTCATCAGTGCACTTCTCTCTCCATGTAAGGTTTGCCATCACTAGGCAGACTCCCTACACACACGCGCGCCGTGCAGTGTGTGGTGCGTCTACGGGAATGTTTGTGTTACACACGGACATATTTGGATATCAAAGTCTGTTTGTGTCGGGGTTCGGTTTTTGCCTGTGAGCTCTCCTTCTTGTGTGGCCTCCCATGGATGTCCTATTGGGACTCTCGCTCTCTCATCATCTGTCTGATTGATGTCAAAGCAAAAAGAGGGAGGGGAGAGGAGAAGGGAATGATTAGTGAGGAGGAGAACAAATCTCACGGTGCGATTGTTCATTTCAAGGCTGCTGTTGGTGACTCTGTACTTTTGCCTGTGACCTGCTGGATGTGTGTCCGTTAAGTGGTGGATGGAGAGGGGAGATTATCAGTGAAAGAGAGGAGGAGGAGGAGGAGGAGGAGGGGAAGCTCAGTAAAGTGGGTGCCCAGTAACGAGATGCTTATGTAACCAGAATAAGGCGAGCCCTCTGCGTCTCTCACACTGGAGCTCGGGTCAAGTGTCATTCATCTGATTGTTTACATTGGCTCTTTTTGTGTTAATGTGGAATTTCCTGTTTTTGGTTTTACCCCCATCTCTCAGCGAAGAAGAAGAAGAAGAGGAGGAGGAGGGGGTTGTGTTGAAGTGGCCTCCCTCTAAATATTGGGACCTGTATGCCCTGTTTTCCATGTTTTGTATCCACACCTCCAACCCCAACCTCCATACCCCACCCACCCTCGATCACCAGGCATGCATTTGTTGTCCTGTTTCCATTTGCAAAAGATGGCGATCAAAGAGCGTCCATAGTTTATTGTTCTTCTGTAATGGTTTGGAAACAGCCAAGTGCAGAGGCCTTTGATATCTGGGGGCACATAAATCAGGGCTGCCACACTGCCAGCCTTCCCAGCCTGCCCCCCAACCCCACCGGATCCCGTCCCTGCCCCCCCATCCAGTCTCCCGACCTCCTCTCCCTAACCTGAATGTGTGTCACCATCAGTAGCAATGACAGTCTAGTGAAAGTAGGACAACATGCGTTGCCAAAAGGGTGGATTTAATGTTTGTATGAGAGGAGAGAAGCTGTCTCTAGACCAGGCCGAGGTCCCCGACTGCATCCAGATAGTCTCCCTGTTAAACACACCGCATGCCATCAGCCTTTGAACCTTTGATCAGGAGAACCCCACTACCGAGAGGAGGAGAGCAGGATCAGAGAGAACGAGGGGGAGGAAGAAAGGAGGAGGAGAGTGATATACAGGGCAGAAAGAATACAGGATCCAGATGTGTAACAAGACGAGATGAGGAGGGTGTGAAAGTATATGGCCTCTCTCGTGACTCTGGACCTTCTGTTACTGCGTTAGTGTTAGGGTTAGGGCATGTGTGTGAATGTTGGTGTGTATGAGTGAATATTGTCACTGTTGGTCAGATTTGACAGTGATGCACTAATAACAGGCCAGTAAAAGGGTAAAATGGGGCATCACGCTGGAGGAAGTCTACAGTATAAAATTTTAGGTAATTTTCCAACGGGAAAATAATGTTGGCAGTGTTTCAGCTCTTCTTACATTATATCCAGTGCTGAAATCTGGGCCAAAACAGGATCAATTGATGTAAAAAATAATACTATTCTCCTAAAAATCGAAAATCTATTGAATATATGTGACCTTAAAATTTTTCAAATTGTCATGTACTATTCTGTGAAATTGATCTATTACTTATAATATATTTTTGGAGAAAGCCTTCTTATATATTAGCATTTTTAAAAGTCCCGCAGAAAGAGGATAAAATGCAGAGAATGTGTGTAAATAATTGCTTACAGCATTTGCAGTTGATAAAATTACAGCGAGAAAGGCTAAAAATCCCCAAAAAAGGTTATCTTCTTGTCACCACCAGTTTACAGATATCTGGGGAGGGGGCCAACTTCTCTTCGTCCATCATTTATCATGCTTGACAGGCTTCTCCTCTAAACAGGCATACTGTGTTCAAATGCTTGAATTTGACCGACCACATAACTTCTTTATGGGACAATCACAGGCAGTCAGTGAAAAGTACGCCCTGTTCTAGAGACCATAACTATAAATCACCAACCGTTTGGTCATTAATTCAGACATTTCCTCTCTTCTTTAGCCCTCCAACTGCAACTGGTTTGCTCTGAGCAGACCACAAACTGGCTCAGGTCAAATCTCAAGATCCCATCCAATCACAGGTTTGAGCCAATTTAGCATATTTCAGGATGATATAGACATGAGTGAATGGCAGACAAGGGTTCATTAGAGGGTTTGGATTGCGGTTTTGACCAGTGTCAGGCATGAAATAGATACATGTCCTATTAGACATGAAAGAGACACATGCACACTGGAGAATCAGACCAACCAAAAATCAATTTGCAACGATTATATTCCAGACACAGTACACGTATCTACAATTCAGCACCATTATAATGTCACCATTAATCACTATAAATCTCAGAGACCAACATTTCCTCCTGCTGGTCTTTCTTCTTAGTAACTGTAAAACCTGAAAGGTCAAACTAAGTGGCGGCCGTAGTGGCGGCAGCACAGCAGGTTCAGACACGCTCGCACCATCCCAGGGGTCCCACGCCTCCCAGGCCCTCTCATTAAAGCTAAAAGAGGATCTCTCTGGCACAGGCCCCTCTTTGTCCACGGCCTGGATGCCATGACTGTTGTGGGAAAAAAAGAGAATTAAATGAACGAAGGCTGGTTGGTCACTTTGCTGGTTAGTTGGATGCCTCGGGGGCTCTTTGGAATTGCTGACCAAGCTACGAAGTACTACGATGGTTTCAAGGTTTCTTCCTGGAAACGGAGCACTAATTGTTTTTATACTCCTCAATGAGCCATTATAAATGATGGATCCCATTTAGCCCTGAAGTAGCCTAACTTTCTAACTTTTGTTATTCCAGTATTCCAGTCGTCTCAGTTTCCCTTGTTCTTTACATCAAGGTGGTGTCTGCACAGTCAGCATAGCAGTTGCCAAAATCAGGCTTTAAGACATTTCCTGTCATCCATTTTTCATCCTGAGACTTTCATTTGGTCTCTTAAATCATTCCACTAGTTTGTTTCAGGTCCAGATAATCTGACATCCTACCTTGTACTTTCAGGTGCATGGCCACATGATTCACAGCGGTGGGGTCCAATATGTCCCTGAGACTTTGGAGCAGCAGAACCAGGTCCAGAGTCTCTTGCCTGAGCCCCACAGCCACCAGAGGAGGTGGTCCCACCCGCAGCACCGCTCAGTTGGTGTTCTACCACAGCCTGAGCCTGA